CCTGCTGGCTCACAGGGCCACAGAATCATGGGAGTTGTAGTTCCACTCTCCTCCACGGCTTCCTTTCCCAGGAAAAAGAGGGAGGTGGCTCTCTGCATGTCAGGAACTCCTCCCGGAGGAAGAGTTCCACACAATCTAAACTTTCAGGAATCAGGGGCCGTGTCATGTTTCGTTTGCATTTCAAACAACACTCAAAAACAGACAAGAATCAATCAAGGCCAGCTTTCTTGTTTGCATGCTGCAAGTCGTCTCTGGTTGCTTCTGGATCGAGAGAATCGGCCGTCTACGAAGACGTTGCCCAGGGGACGCCCGGATGTCTTGCAATCCTGCGAGGAGGCTTCTCTCATGTCCCCCGCTAATTGGCCAGCTAATTGCTTCCCAACAAAGGCTTTCCCCAGGCAGGAAGCAGCCAGACCTTGAAGGTGCAAAGCTTTCAATGCTCATCTAGGCAATCAGTTGCAGCATTCACACTTGCCTCCAGCAGAGAAGAGTTCTTTCTCCCGCCCTGGCCATCATTCCAGATATATAAACCTCACTTCCCAAGTTTCCAACAGACCCCACAACCTCTGAGGAAGCCTGCCATAGATGTGGGCGAAACATCAAGAGAGAATGCTGCTGGAACATGGCCAGACAGCCTGGAAAACTCACAGCAAATCAACGATTCCAGCCACAAAAGCCTTTGAAAACACATTTTTCAGGACGCCTTAGCTATGGGACTTTTTTTTTTTGTATTTCCAAATGGTTTGGAGGAAACACTGGCTTTGGGGTATTATTCTGAACTAGCAGAGGTGCCCTGCAATGCCCAGGTTAAATATCTCGGAAGGATAAGCACCTGAAGGACTCATTGTGTGATTTCGGGTTTCATGAATGAACCCATTAGAAAATGCACAGGAATGTGCTTGAACTACAACTACAAGACCTATGAGGAGCGGCTTAGGGAACTGGGCATGTTTAGTCTGAAGAAGAGAAGGCTGAGAGGGGATATGATAGCCATGTATAAATATGTGAGAGGAAGCCACAGGGAGGAGGAGGGAGCAAGCTTGTTTTCTGCTTCCCTGGAGACTAGGACGCAAGGGAACAATGGCTTCAAACTACAAGAGAGGAGATTCCATCTGAACATGAGGAAGAACTTCCTGACTGTGAGAGCCATTCAGCAGTGGAACTCTCTGCCCCGGAGTGTGGTGGAGGCTCCTTCTTTGGAGGCTTTTAAGCAGAGGTTGGATGGCCATCTGTCAGGGGTGATTTGAACGCAATGTTCCTGCTTCTTGGAAGAATGGGGTTGGACTGGATGGCCCATGAGGTCTCTTCCAACTCTTTGATTCTTTGATTCTATGATTCTATAACTCCTTTCATCCAGACTTTCCTCCCCAAAACACACCAGTATGTAGAGTTGGTCAGGATGGGTCTGTGTAGTTGGTTGCGTCCAGATTGATCATCGGTTAGGTTGACAGTGCTCTCTAGATGCAGGGTGAACTACAACTCCCAACTTCCCCACTCAATTGCCCCCCAGCACAGGCTGTAACCCTATACCCTGTTCGGCCTTTCGACTGACCAGGAGTACCTCTGTCTTGTCTGGAT